ACACACACACACACACACACACACACACACACACACACACACACACAACTCGTGACTAACAACAACTCATGACTTAGAAAAACAATGTGCAGCCATGTCTTGGGTCAGCAGAAACCGTTGAGCTGATAAGAGAGCGTTTTGTTTTTTATTGATTGTTTTAAGGACATTTGTTAGCTGTCTATAGATATCTTCCCAATAAAATACAAAAAACTGACATACACATGTGCTGCACACTTTGATTTTTAAGCACACAGAAGATAATCTAAATATTTTAAATTACATTTTGTTAAAAAGTTATTTCAAAAATACTATTTCACCATTGCAGATACGTAGTTATTTGGATTAGCTTAAATCAAATTAAGTTTAATTCTGATCAAGCCCAATAGCTAATCTGAGCAATCCTCTTTTGGCCAAAAGATTAATTTTCATGCAAAGGCTATTTAAAAAAACTTTCACATTGGTGTAATTTACATATAATTCTTTGGGTATTGGCATGCACACATAACAGCTGCAACAGCTAATTGGTGCAACCTGAGAAACTTCCAGTAGGAATTTTATAATACTTTTGCTGGAATAACTGTGATATGTAAAACTAACTGGGAAGTAAAGGCTGATAATGTAGCGTTTGTTGATTGAAATTGTTTAGGATGACAGCACTTTAGTCTTTCTTGGACTAGCCTTTAGTTAATCAATCTGATCAGAATTATCAATCCTCACTTCTCCAAACTGAAGCTAATCAAAAAGCTATCTACAACAGGTAAGATAATAACTGTTCATAACAGGACCCTTTAGAACTCTTTAACTGGCAGCAGGTGTGAACAAACAGAAGTTAAACACTCTGTGGCCTTTAGATTCATCTTGTGTTCAGTTTTGATGTTTCAACTGCAGTTAAAAAACAATTTAATAAACTACAGATGATGAGCCAACTTTCAATCTCCATCAAGTGTGGTTTGGTGAAGCCAAAACCAACCTTTGCTGTCCGAATTTATTGCAGTGGGTGTTTTACTTTCAGAAATTTTGCTTGCAGTAGAATAATAAAAATAATTGAAGCTCTTTTTTGTTACACTGTGTACAAAATAAAGAAAACAATTAATCTTGTATGTCAGTCTGTATTTATGCAGAAGTGTTAAGAAGCAGGTAAAGATAAGGAGCAAGGCTCTGAAAGGAAAGCGCATGAAAGTGTTCGTTTGTGAGTCTGAAAAAACAGGTGTTGGTTTTGTTTTCGGAAACCAACATCCTCACCCAACACACACATACACTAACAGGCTAACACCAATGAGCCAAATAACCTGAAAATTGTGGGGGGAACGCTCTTTGGTCACACACGGTCCCCACCCACTCCTTAGAAAAACAAGAGCCGGTGTCTTTGGGTTTGCTTTCACACTGAGGTTGACACACAAACACACCAAATACTTAAGGGCCTCTCGTCTCACCATTCAAACACCCAGGCATGTTTTAAATGCACACTTGCGCACATACACACAAGCAGCCCCCACCCTCACCCCTCCACAGGCACACACTGCGAAGCCCACAAATAAACACTTACTCTTGTTATTCAATTCACTGACTCATAATGCTCAGATTCTCAACTTGCAAACATTCTTACTCCAATTAAATTATATTTACTTAAATCGGCATTATGACATGTTTCCTCCAAAGAAACTGTTTGGCTCACTTTGTCAGTATTTTGCATAATATTTCCTTTAGCCTTTCTGTCTTTTATGGAGAAAGTTACAATTATATTATGCATGCAAGTGTGCATATGCTGGTGCCAAGGGCAGAACCAACATTTTGTGCCAGAATGGATAGAGAGCAGATGGCAACCCTGACAGGGTAGAAAACCTCCAATTCCCACATTCTCTGATTCTATTCAGCCTCCACTCCCATGCTTCCAATTGCAAGAACATGTGTGACAGAGACAGCTTTAGACTTATGTTTGAATGCAACTTAAAAAAGCATCTGCTTCATGGCACACTCAATGGGCCTCATGCAAGAACCGTTCATATGCACAGATTTTTTCTTAAGTTGTGCGTACGAGTGATTTACGAGAATTTGTGGCATTCACCAATGTTCGTATTCTAAGATTTTTTTCAGATACGAACAAAATTCACGAGTGGTCCAGACCTGTCGCATATTTTACGAGCAGTCAAGTCTGCTGTTATCC